CTCGACACGGATGTTTGGTTCATGAGGTGGGGATATCTGGCGGCGATAAAGATATAGAAAGACACACAAGGACACAAAGAGAGAGACAAAGAGACACCCCGAAACCAGAGTGGATGCGGGACTGGCATCAGGCAGATCCTGCATTGCAAACATTTCAGCCATGAAGGCCGTAATATCTTGCATAGTAAACATCTTGGCTAAACAGGCAGTATGGTTGCAATGCTGGACTGAGCCTCCTGCATGCTGTAACGTGCACCTTGCCAGTCGTAATGTACCTGGATTCGTTCTGCACCTCCGTTTTATTTAGGAGAGGAACTATACACAAAGCTGGGTGGGACTAAGACAAGGTACAGCTAACATATGTAATTTTCCAGACATTCAGGCAGCTTTACATTGTACTTCACAGATTCGAATCTCACGACAGACTGCAACTTGGTTTCTCAAGCTTAATTAACATACCTTTTAGCACCTAGCCTCAAATGGGGGAAGGAAAAGGAGGATTGGGAGGAGTCCCATTGTGTCGGCTGCCCAGCCCAGGTTTGCAGGAAGAAGCCAGCCACCTAGGTGAATGGGCTGCATCTGGAAACACTTTAGGGAGGGCAATCCTTTTGTCCTTAGAACAAAGACCCGGGAAGCCACCCAATTTACTTTGACTGAATTCTCTGAAGGAAGAACTTTGCCTTTTTGGAATTTTACAGTCTCAACTTTTAGGAAAATATTACATTTATCTGTGGATATCAGGGCTTCATGTATGCAATTAATAATAAACCTAACTGAATACTAAGATGAAAAACAGTTTGCTATGTCTGCTAGGTGGCTAGAGTCTGTTCCTCAGCGCCTGCGGCCTGTACGGTCTGCAACATTTGGGCCCACAGGGCCTCGAACTCCTGACCGGGTCTGCATGGTCTGCAACAATATATGAAGGGTTGTCAGAAAATGGCCAGCCAGGCTTTAGCAGGGCACACTTTTTCCAGGGTGGGCTGTGATTCAGTCATCCTGGCTTCAAATCACTTACTGGGGTTGTACTTTTGATCCAGTGATTTGATCTCTTGGTGCCATCATTTGTTCACTTACTCAAGAGAGATGATAACAATACTCACCTCATAGGATTTCCTTAAGACTAAGTGAACTCTGAAGAAATGGCATCTACCATTGTCATAGGAGTGCAGTGGCTCTGTAGGAAAAGCACTGGCCTTCAAATCACGAGATTGTTGGTAGTTTGAGCCACCAGCTGCTCTACAGGAGAAAGATGGGGCTTTCTGCTCCTATAGATTTACAGCTTCGGAAATTCTATACATGGCTGCTATGAGTCGGCACTGACTTGATGCCATTTAACACCACCACTGCTGTGATTCTCAGATTCCATTCATCTGAGAACTCCTTTGTTTAATTTTCAATCTTATGCTAAAAAATGAGAGAGAAAAGGAACTCATAGCTTTCCTGTGTCCTCAGATTCCCCTGGGCTGCAGGATGACAGTAGAGATGCCCCCATGTCAGGCCCCCCTGCCACCACTGTGGCATCCTGAGAGCTGTCACAAATGTCTGGGGTACACAATGTCTGCTGGTACCAACAGAGTGACCCACGCTGTCTGTGGAAGACCCGTGAGGCAGACAGGGATAAACATTTCCACAGTCTGTTCTCTGTTAAACACTGTGGGGGCAGGGAGGCAGTCACGTGTGACAGGGTGGAAAGCAGCTACAATGCAGCCAGAGCATTCAAGCAGAAAGTCAAAATGGGGAGCAGAGAGGGGCCCAGATATGGTATCAGATCCTCAGCCAGCCCCCACCCTCACCCCCAACATTTGGGAGAATCCTGTATTTGGTGAAAGACATGTTTGCACTGTAGAAGTTCATTTTGTGCAGTTCCATCTCCTGACAGCCTCTGTTTGCTACTTCCCCTCAGTCTCTTGTTTCCCAGCCCCTTTTTGCTGTCTGGAAAGTTACTGAGCAACTCCCTGTCCAGACAGGACCTGCTGCCCTGAGCATTTTTCCTTGAGCCGTGGCGCTGTCGGCTCCTCCCGGCACCCCAAGACCTCCTTGATCAACTTAGTGATCACTGTGGCAGTAGTCCCAACCCTTGGCTCAGAGCACATTCTAAGATAACATTTAATGAATTAATGAATGCGCAAACAAATGAACTGACAGGCAGAGGGAGGAACATACATCCAAAGAGGCTCTTTCTTATGTATGACTTGAATCAAGATACAAACCTGATGTCAACTACCACCTTCATTCCATACATTCTGTCAAAGTGGTGAAGTGCATTAACTCTGAAGCTTTCACAGAAAGGAACCTGGTGGTGTGGCGGTGTTACACGGTGGGCTGTTAGCCACAAGGTCAGCAGTTCAAATCCATCACGGGAGAGAAAGGGGGATTTCTGCTCTGGTAAAGATTTATAGACTCTAAAATCCTACGTCGGGTCATTTTGAGTCAGGATTTACTTGGTGGCAGTAGCCTTGGTTTTGGTTCTTTAACAAGGGAAGGATTCCGATTCTTTATGCTAAGGCTTTAGTATATTTCTAAGACAGTTTATCTACATTGCCCTAAAGACCCATAGTAAATAGGATTCCATAATCATAACAGATTTCTCTACAAATACCCACTTTTTTAGGGACACATCTGACAAATAAAAGGGGATGAAACCTGAACTGGCCTCTCCCCACAGTAGAGACCCCAGGCAGTGTGGGTGGTGAGAGTCTCTGGGGTCTATAGTATCAAAATTGCTAGAAGGCCTGTGAGGATAAGGGCGGAGCTATCTGTGGAGTCAGGCATTTTGTTTTGTTCTGTTTTCTGAGCTTGTCCCAGACAGGCCCTCCCACTGCCCAAATCCATTAGGAGACTATTACATGTGCTTAAGGCGCCAAGTTCCTTATTCAGTTATTGAAATGAAACAAATACTACAGGCACAAGACTAAAGCAAATGTGCAGAGTGTTAAAAAGCATCTTCAGATGTCCTCATGGGCAAAATGCCGGCCATTCTGTGGAGGCTTCTTTCGTCATCTGGGCAAAGACATGTACTTAAACACACAGAGGCTACATCCATAGACAGGTTTCATGCTACCATCTGTGAATGAGCTCACAGAACTTCAGATACCCAGATGGTGCCTCATGGACTTCCTCAGGCAGTATTTTGTATATTGGTCCAGAGGTCTTAGCAGTCCTTCCTTTGCAAGACTGGCAGATACTTTATCTTATTTATGCCATTAAAATGTTATCTTTCTTAAACAAATACTTAAAGGAACGTTTAAAGAACATAAAAGGTTATTATAAACTAGTATTTTTATTGCTGCCCCATAGAACAAATTCCATTACTCAGTTAAATGCAATCTGCCTCCAGCCAAGACTTTGGATCCAAGCACTTTGTCTGGATGAGTTAGACGCTCAATCTGGAGCCCACAGGGGAGGGGGTGGGCCAGTACAAGAGCAGCTGCGGACGTAAGGCTCAGGGGTCCACAGATGAGCTTGGAAATACAGTAGTGTGTATAGCTTGATTTGAAAGCATCCACCACAGATCCTTGTGTCGCTATAAAATAAAGTCATGTTTGATGTCTGTGAGCCATTTTAAGAGTTTCAATTCTTTGAGTTAAATGCTCAATACACTGTGTTGTCCATAAATAAACTGTTGATGGAAGGATTGATGTTGACCCCATTCAAATTGCTGATCCCGGGGAGAGAAGAAGCCATTTATTAATGGATGTTAACAGCTATTGATTCTCCCATGGTCATGGATCTCAGATCTTTTGTAGACTAAGCGAGCTTTTGCCCAGGGGATGACAGAGTCATAGACCATGGAGTGTGACCTGCAGAGGCCTTTGGGAAGCCTCAGTAGACCCTCGCCCCCTGCTCACACAGAGCATGAGTAGGGCTGGATCTGGCAAGAGACTAAGGGAGAGCTTTCTTTTCTCCACACTCTTGTCTGGTCTGGAGCCTGCCCTTTTCATATCAGGAACTGTGGCAGATTTAGGATTGAGGATGGAAGATGATGGATTCATAACACACATCAGAAAATAGAACAGAAGCCCTAAACTCTGTATGACCTTTAAAGAAACACAGAGCAGACCAAGTACATTTTGTAAATGAAGAGATATGTGATTAGTGACCTTTCACATGAAAGGACTTATCTTGAAAGGAATAACTTCTCTTCTCACCCTTACCCAGACTTTATTTTGATATTGAAATTGATCAACATTGAACAGTGGGTGGAAATCATCATGCCAAGCTATAAACACAAGCCAGTTCTAAATTATTTAAATCTGAGTGTCCCTCCATCTGTTGATTGTAAGCCCCTGTGAAGGTGGTCACAGGCCCCGCTGGAGGATTTTGCAGAGAGCAGCCACCACATCTCTGCAGTTTGTTCCTTGGCATCTGCTCTGCAAAGAGTCACTGGCTGTGTCATAATTCTTTCTGGAGGCCCTTAGATGAGTCCAGACTAAGATCTAGAACACCCATGGGGAGACATCCTGACTTCTGCCCCTTGCCCTGGGTTCTTTTAACACCTTCCTGGGTGGGACCACAGCATCATTGCTCATCCTACAGATTTGCAGGGTTATTGGAGATTGCTGAGCCCTGACTCTGCCGTACTTATCTTACGTAGTTTACATCATTGGAACTCGCCCTCTCCTGTCCTCTATAACTACTTGTCTAGATTATTTCTTATGCTGCTTAGATGCAGCTTGCACCCATTTGAAACCTTGTGTGGTGGTCCTCTCCTCTCTTCTCCCCTCTTTACCAGCTCCCCCTCCTCTCCACGTCAGTGTCCTTGCTATCTTCAGTCCTGCCTATTGCTGCCTCAAGGCTTTTCCTGCACTGGCAGATAGCCACTGGCTTTACCCACCAGGGCACTTCAGCAACAACAGGATGGTGCAGTGTGTCTTTGAGCCTTGAGCTTCCCTGGGATTCTGGGAAGGGGAGTGGGGTGACATACTGCCTGCCATCGACCTCAATGCTAATACCTTGTTCTCTTCTCATTCCTTTGACTGTGCTTTGCGGGTGACCTGCAGTGCGAAGGACCCTGAAGAGTGGCCTGACTCCAGAAGAAGCCAGAGCCCTGGGCCTGGTTGGCACCTCGGAGTTGCAGCTGTGACACCTGTGGGGTGCCCTGAGAATGTGCCCGAGGAGTGTGCAGACGCTTGCTGGAAGGAAGCGCTCCAGTTGGGGTGGGGGTGGGAGCTGTACATTTACCATGGAAAGGAATGCTCATTTCTAGGTGTCTCCCCATGGTTTGCTGTGTCCGATGTGCATCGATGTGGACTGTTAGGAGTCTCCTTCCCATCATCTCTTCCATGATCATGTCGCCGTGTTTCTCTTGTTTCCTTGAGACCTGGTTTCGTAGTTCCAATGCTTTTACACTACTTCTGTGTAACAAACATCCCTTTTAAGGAGCAAATCACTTCTGTCACCATTACTATACTAATATGAGGCAATTTGACTAGACTCACAGACTGGGATTCACAACACCAAAACATCCAGATGTAAACGCCAAAATTGTACACAGAAGAAAGCACAGCTTGTTTACCAGTTGTGGATTTTAGTTGTACTAAATGTTTATACAAATACATAAATGTACACCAACGTTTCAAATACTAAATAAATAGAGTTTAATGTCATTACCAGAAATGTTTGTTCTCCTGGGTGTAGGACCTGAAACAACTACACAGGCTTGTCTTTCTCTGAATCAGCAAAACCTCTTCTCAGTTTTCTGAAGAAAGACCCTTGCTCCAAATGACCTTTAGGTCCTTTGGGTTGTGTTTTTGCTAATAGAGTATATAGCACCAACGCATGTGCTCTTTACAACTCTTCATTTAGTTAGGCATTCGTCCTTGTTGCAGGACATACTAGTTAGTAGTAACCTCATATATATTACCTAGCCCATGTGGTTCATTTTGCTCCACTGTGTCATCGAACCAAAAATTAGAGTAGCATTATAAAAATCTATATTGTTCTACAACTTACGAAAAACAACAACAAAAACTCATTCTCAGCCATTTCCTAAGTAACCCAAACAACACAGAAATTCTATGCTTTGTTCACAGAAAGCGTCAGAGTCACAAATTTCGTACTTGGCATTCCAGTACATCAAGCTAAGGTTTTCAGAGGGGATGATGTAGTGGGGTGTGGGGGGGGCTCTTATCAGCCACAGGTGACACTGAGAGAGCTGTTGTCTGCTGATGTCTGAGCCAGACATGCCCCAGAGTTGCAAGACACCCATGAAGAATCTCTGCCTCCAAAAATGGGAGAAGTAAACCATCGCAGCAGGTATTGGAGGAATGAAAGATTACTAGGCACTAGTTTTGTCTTTTGTCTGACTTCCAATGACTCTCGACGTATGGGATTCATAAAAAATATGCAGTCATATTGCCTGAAAAGCCAAAGATAATATATTCCTCACACAGGCCTCTTGACCAGGTCTCCCCTGCCTTCCGCCTCAGTGATTGAGAAACAGGGAACTCTTTCAAGCAGGCATTTGCCAAATACCGTGTGATGGATGTGAACGTCCTGCAAGTTAGATCTGTATATTACAGACAATTGTGTTTGATCCACTTCTTATTTACAGGGATGCATAGGTTATTAATATTCATTCTCCTTGTGATTCTAAATAACATGCGTAATTTTCCACATATGGTTTAGTGCTTTGTGAAGGCATTGTCCTGCTTCCGGAATACTAACATGGAATATCATGGGATAGCGATGTGCAAACAAAGGAAAGATGCATTTTGCCCCACTGTTTAGTGAACAGATACTTGGATGCCTTTCCTGGGGCTCTGAGTTCTGCTCAGAGTTACTGCTTCAGAAAAAAAAAAAAAAAAAAATGTATTCAGAAGGAAGTGCCTGAACACATCAATGTTTATTTCAGGGGTTAAAAATATTCTCAGAAGCAGCAAACAAGGTGAGCTAATTTCTTGGTTACAGCTAGGTAAAGAGGGCTTCTTGTTATTGGGAACAGTCTCCTGAACAGTCCCAATGGAGATGGGAATAAGATAGGCAGTGGGTTCCCAACCTAGTCTGCACAGTAGACTAATGGGGGAGGGGAGGCTTCAAGAAATACTGATGCCTTAGTCCCACAACCAGAGATTACAATTTAATTGGTCTGGGGTTGGAACCTGGGCTCTAAACATTTAATTGATCCTCTGCCTATACATGGAGTCCTGGTGTGGTGCTGTGGGTTAATGCTCTGGACTGCAATGTTGGTTTGAATCAGAAGGTCGGTGGTTCAGGCTCACCAGCCGCTCCTCGAAAACCCTATACAGGTTTGCTATGAGTTGGAACTGACTTGAAGGCACTTAACAACAATTACCTATACATATTCCCTTACCCCCAATTCTAATATAAAGTCAGGTTTGGGAACCACTAATACACAGGATGCTTTTTTCTCTTTTTTCCTGTGGTGGAGATAGAAGTTGGAGACTAAAGACAATGTTGTTGAAAACCTGAAAAACCAAATATAATTCCCCAAGAGAGAACTGGTTTTTAATCACTATCAGCTGATCACCCAGTACCCTGTGTGCCCAGGGAACTATGACCCTTGCCATGAAAGCCAGGAGGGCGTGACAGTTGAGTCCCTCACCAAACATCTGTTCATGCTCAGAGAGGGAAACGGGAAGTAGTGTTCGAGGCCAGCTCTTGCCATCTCCTTGTCCTTTTTCCCTCCCAGAGAAGTGCCTATGGCCTTAGAAGCAGGACAGTTTGCTTTACTTGGAGGTATACCCTGAGACCCTGTTTGCAGGGGAGATCTGAAACTTTCTGTTCTAGATCATTTTCTTCCTTTGAATTGCTCGATTCTTCCTGAAGAAATAGATGTATCTAAAGGACTCAGAAGAGCCTGGGGAAAACTAATCAGCATCTTTAAATTTAGTGATGAGGCTTTCTGCTCCCATAAAGATTTACAGCCTTGGAAACTCTGTACAGGGTCGCTATAAATCGGAACCGACTCCACAGCACATAACCAACCAACCAACCAATTTTTAGTTTAGTAGTAATTTTTCTTGTTGCTCATTTCCTTTCTCATTTTTGCCACTCATTCTGGCTGTCTCTATTAGGGATTTCTAATTCAGGCAATCAAATTGCCCTAGGAGACCTCTGAGAAACAGCAACATCACTGGTACTTGCAAGATGTTATTGTTCATCTTTCTGATGATCACTGTATACATTCTTGCTCCTGTTTCTTAATATGGATTGAATTTGAAAACTACCAGCAAAGTAAACAAAGCCAACACTTTTCTGTTAAAGACGTTTGGGTTTTGTTTTCTTTAGAATTGTAAAATTTTTCCTTTCTACTTTAAAAGTAGCTTACTTAGGGATGGAGGTTGGGTGCACAGGGTCATGATGACTGAAGATTCAACGTTGTTTTCTTCCAAGTCCATGTTTCAACACAGTGAAAGGAGGATGCACATAGGCCAGGACTCAGAAGGGCTGGACTCTCAGCTCCTCACCTTCAGGTGACCACCACATCACCCAGTTCCCAAGCCCATTGCATCTGTGCTCATGGCCCTTACATGATACATTACCAAATGCCACTGTGGTACGCTGAATAACAGCCACCCAAAGATTGTTAAGAGTTCTGGTGTGGTGCTGTGGGCTAATGTGCTGGACTGCAAGTTTGGTTTAAGCCACAAGGTCAGTGGTTCAAGCTCACGAGCTGCTCTTCAGAAACCCTATACAGGATTGTTATGAGTCGGAACCAACTCGAGAGCACTTTACAACAACAATAAAGTTGTTTTCAAGTGCCCTTGAGTTGGTTCCAACTCATAGCAACCTTGTATAGGGTTTTCCAAGGAGTGGCTGGTGGTTAGCAGTCCAGTGTTTACCATATCGTGCCACACCAGGACTCCAAAGACAGCAGCCCCTAATTCCTGGAACTGTAAATGTTACCTTGAAAGGAATAAGAGCCTTTGCAGTGCGTTCAAATGAGATATCTCAACATAAAGAGTTCTGTTGGAAAGTGCATCGAATAGGCTCCAATTCATAGTGACCCTGTATAGAGTTTCCAAGGAGTGGCTGGTGGGTTTGAATTGCTGACATTGAGTTAACAGTCCAGTGCTTATCCTACAGTGCCATACCAGTTATCTAGGGTGTCTTAAATCCAATCACAATTGTTCTTATGACAGAGAAGATTTGATACATACAGAAACGGAGAAAGTGACACAGAGATGGAGACAGAAATTTCAGTGATGCAGCCACAAGCAAAAGGGAATGCTGACAGCCACCAGAAGCTGAGCGAGGCAAGGAGCTGATTGTCTCTAGAGCCCTTAGAAGAGTGAAGCCCCATCTGGATTGCAACCCAGTGAAACTCAAGGTGAACTTCCAGCTTCCAGAACTGTGTGAATAAATATCTGTTGTTGTAAGTCATGGAGTTTGTGGTAATCTGTTATGGTTGTTTCTTTTGTTGTTAAGTGCCATCAAGTCAGTTCCAACTCACAGCAACCCTGTATAGGGTTTCCAAAGAGCAGCTGATGAGCTTGAACCACGAACCTTGTGATTTAAACCAACTTTGCAGTCCAGTGCATTAACTCACAGTGCCATACCAGGACTCCTACACTAGGAAGATAGAAATGCCCAAATGTCTTTTTTTTTAATGTTTTATTTTGAATTATGTGAGAGTTTACACAGAGGAACATTAGTTTTACATTCATCCTATCGTATATCATTTCATTGCCATGGTTACAATCCCCTCCATGCATCATCAACCAAAGGGTATACCCTATAAGCCTGCCCCTTGGTCATCAGCACACAGCCCCTCTTCCTCTCTGTGTCTAAAGTTGACCATATTGTGCCACTCCCAGCTGCTCCATCTCTCCACGTCATTGTCTCTGCCTCCATCTCAGGCATCACTGCTTCTCTGGGTAGGGTCCCACTCTCCACTCTTCTCCCTTGATGGTCCCAGGAACCTCTGCTCCTAGACTGCAAAGTTAGTCACTCCCCTCCTTGCTACATAACGTCTGCCTTTACATTTCCATCCCTCACAAGCAGTCCTGATAACAATTATTCACTACCAAATGCCTTTATAAGGGATTAAATGGTAGCCCTAGGAAACTAGGAGAAGTGCCAACCACAGATGTGCATGGAGGACTTGTTATAGAGCCTAAC